AATATATATCCGACACATGATTCGCCTCTCTACGAGGTATCTTCGAGAGTTGTTGATTGTTCGACACTCGGCCGAAGAATTTATTTGTGTTTTAGTTTGAATGATTTCTTCTCTTCATAGACTAAATCATTCATAAAACGAATTTATCAACATTTAAATCATTTTCTTTTAGCGGTATTTACCTGCATTACTGGGCAACAAAAAATGGTCACTGGAGTGAACACTAATCCGTTGGTACCTAGTGAAGATATGACTACGGTTGTAACCGGTAACCATGCTTCTAAAAAGTGCGCAGCTAGTGGATCTGTAAGTATGGCGTACTGGGAACGCGCGATCCGAAATGTTGGACAACTTAAAGCCGAAATAGAAGATCTCAGAAAGGTTAGTCAACAAATGAGTTGTTACATCTTCTCAGCTGTTTTCAAAATTAATTCTTATACGTGATATTTTTAATAACACAGGATACGATCAAGAAACAAGACTTAAAGAAGATGGAAGAAAATATCGCTAAGCTTGTACAACGTGCATCGGTACGTGATATTTTTATAATAAATTGGGTTTATTAGGGTACTTTGTTAATGAAGTTGGTATTATATGGTAATAAAATTTATGCTTATTTAAAACGCTGTAAATATGTTTCTTTTAAAATTGTACAAAAACGTTGACAAAATTTCGAGATGCATTATTTAAAATATTTTTTTTTATAAATTTCTGTGAAACTATTTTAGTTCTTGAGAATGATAGTCCCATCGATATACTCGATGTCCCGTAATAAACGAACCTAATTTAGTGAAATTTTGAACAAAACTAGAATGACTTTCAAATTGAAAGCGCTCGTAGATATTGAGAGTTTTTGATTATTGAGATAACTGATTTTCACTAAAATTGGATATTTCCAGTTTTAGTGAAAATCAGTTATCCCAGTTATCCCAGCTTATAACAGATCGGAAAGACAATCACAAGCTTACACGAGCTGCAACTTTTAATATAGTTTTTATAAACTTTTATACCTAGAATATAGAATTAGTCCATTCACTCATTTCAGGTTATCCACTTCGATACTCCAATGAAATTGCCAATTTATGATTAGTGGAAATAATGATATTCATTGTAACCATTGTTTTTTCAAATTAGTTCATGCAGAGCCACGCGTGCTGTTTAGGCGGTTAGAATAAACATTTTTAAATACACATTTACAATGTAGCAGTGCCACTTTGCAATGCAGGTGCCTTAACTTCAGCCGAATCTGGTTCTTTTGTTGCCACATTACAGATAAAATGGACGTTTTCAATATGTCGCTCTCAATAAACACACATTATCTTCGCAACAGCTGATCTCTAAAGGCATTTTTTTATCAATTGCGCTAACTTCCAAAAAGTACAATATAATAATTCTGACAATTTTGACACGCCTCAAGAGTTGACCTTGTCGCATAAAATTTATTGCATTCTCGAAATTCCACAAGATGGCGAGGTCCACATCCATGTTGTGTTTTCCTATCTGTTTGATCTAATTTTATATGTTACATATGGACTAAATTCTAAAAACACTGTTTTTCAAAATTATAGATGTTATTTATATGTATATAGCTTCAGCTTTTATTCAAGCTTTATTTTTTTCAAATTGTTTACAGGGTCCTGATGAACCGGAACGTATATTAATTAATAAGGGAAAGAGTGTTAATGATAACGGCAAGACAAAATACAATCCGAACGATCGATTAAAGCGAGACAAAGTAAAAGACGAAGATAAGGTTAAAGTATTAGTCAACGACCGTATAAAAAGAGACAGTTTTGGTAAAGTCGTAAAACCAAACATAAAGGCTCCTTTCAATTTTAACAGAAAGACTACTGCAAATAATAGTCCACTGCATACACATGTACCTAAAATTAATAAGTTCATAGCAAATCCAAGAAGTTCCATTGATAAACCATCGCCAAAAACAAACAAAAAACCAGACTTACATACATACGCTGTAAACTATTGTATGTGTGGCTCGAGTAAGGGTAAAAGGAATACACTAAATAATAAAGAAATGATGGATACTTACATTAAGTCATCGAATGAAATTTTACTGGAAGCAAACCAATCTAGCACACGACGATCAAAACCAATTTTATCATTACCAAGTCCAGACTCATTCCAGCAGAACAATGATAAAACTAAAAATAAACCAAGCGGTGGGAGCAATTGCATTTGTTTGAATAAAGTTCCTTCAAGTAAATCTATAGATAAATTATTAGAAACTTTGATGAAATGGAACTGTGATTTAAGTACTTCAAACTACGAGTGTACACAAATCAACTGTCCCTATGGCCTTGACTCGATAATCAACTTGAAAAGCTCTAATAATAACGCGCTTATACAAGAGCTTGTAAATTCAATGTCGAATGCTATCAAATCTAGGTCGATGTTACCGATAGTCCCTCCAGTAGCTCTAGAAACGCCAAGCCAAAAAAAATATATACCTTCAACACCTATAACACTTGTAAGTGGGAGTATCAGTCAACCAACGGAAGGAAACATAAATTTGTATACTCATCCATTGACAATTACTAATACAGAATCTGAATATATGGGCGCAATCAATTTGGAAAAAAGTAACGAAAAGAATTGCAAATGTACCGTTCGGGCCGGTAAAACAACCGTAGATATGGATATTAATACTGATATATGTTCAATACAAGACCGTGAATCATTTCGACGACAACGTAATCAAAGTACAAATGCTGTATTCAGTACAACACAGCCTTACCACGACGCCTCAGAAAGAAAAGGAAATAAATATTCAAACGCAAGCTTATCTTGCGAAAGTAGAGTATTGAGGAAGCCTGACGATAGACCAATGAAAGGCAAAGAATTGTATTACAAACCAAGCCAAATACATAATAGAGCCAGCCAAGCGGATAGTTCTGTAAGACTTCTTTTAGACAATCTTGAAGAAATAGTTAAAGATAAAGCGAATATTGTTAAAGATAATACAATTTTAAAAAAAACTTCGAATTTTATTGAAGACAACTCAAGAAAATTGGAAAATACGTCTAATGTCATCGAAGATAAATCTAAAATGGTTAAAGATCGATCGATAGACTGCCACCTTGACCATACAAATATGGACCAGATTATTACGTCTTCTTTAGTGCATCCTTGCGATTGCGACTATGACGTAAAATTTTTGGGCGTTACGTTAAGAGACCTCAATGACAATAGAAAAAAAAATAAGATAATTGGCAATGAACAAAAGCAACAAGGAAATTTAGAAAAACTTAGCCACGTTTTTAATAAAAAAGATACAAATAGACATCAAATTCAGGAATACTCAAACATGGACTTTAGCCAATACTGTAACGTTACATCGAAACTATCATTGAGTAAACTCGTTGACAATTGGCAATGTAATGGCGATAATTATCTACATGAACCCACTCGAATTTGCAACATGAATATAAACGCTTTTAAAGAATTAATTACGAATTTAAAGAAACATGATTCAAACCTGGACAAAGGTCTCGATACTAAAAGCTTAGCTGGAACATTATTGTCGAAACAGTCAGCTTGCGTTTGTTGTCTCAAGGATAAGGAAGAAGCTCAAAATTTGGAAGTAAATACGTTCTATCTACTTAAAGAACATCTAAAACAAAAATGGGATGAATTTAGAGAAAACTGTCAGTCTGCGTGTATACCGCCTGAAGAAGAAAATAAAGCGTTTTCTCTTTTACTTGAAAAGATTAAAGAAACTATATCTGAAACTGCTGATCAAGCTGTTTGCAAATGTGCAGAAGATGGACCCACTGATAACACCTGGAAACGAGCTTACAGTTTACTTCAAGAGTATCTGAAAAATAAAATAAGTCGTGTTCATTGCAAGTGTTCATACCCGGTAGAATATAACGAATCTCTGGTCCCGGATGTGAGTGCTAAAGTGTGTAATTTAATCGAAAAAGACTTTCAACGCTTGAAAAGTCTTTGTAAGTGCCTTAAAAAATCAATAACTAATAAAGACGGTCTTGATTTAACATGTTCATTTCAACTACCTGAAAAGGATATTAATAGTAGTGGGAAAATATCAAAGCAAGTTTCAAACACGTCAATAATTATAACTCAAACTGCTTCGGCACAAGTTCAACCTAATTTAGTAATGGAATCAAAATCTTGCGAAGTGATACAAAAAGAGCTTAAACCAGAGAATGAAATTGAAATTGTTCACCTTTCTTCTGGTTCTAAAATACACATACCTAAAACTGCTGAATTTATAGTAAGTCAGTGCCATAATTCCACTATAGACAAGCGCAGTAGCCACGAATTAAAACGCATTGCTCCTATACCTTCGTTAGATATAAACAAATTGGAAATTATGAAAGATGAGGATACTTACAACAAAGAAACTCCACTTCCTGTTATTAAAGTTGAGGAATCTCAAAACAAAAACAATCCGCTTTCTTTGCCCCTGATTGGATACACCGTGGACTGTACTTGTGATAAATATTTAGGCCCATGTGTGTGTTCTAAGGCTACAGTTCAAAAGAATAATAGACAAATTGAAGAAATTTGGTACAACATTTTAAGCACGTCTAATAAAAACGTTAATGATAAGAGTATTTCATATGTAATGGATAATGTAAAAAGTACTACAAGTAAAAGTGTTGACAAAATTTGTTTGCAAGAAACTCCACGAGATATATGTATACATCATTTAATTAATATCGACAACGTCCAACAAGTGAATCGCGATGTAATGGACAATAAAACCAGTGTTGAAAATATGTATGTGGATTTAACGCTTGAATATTGTAGTGATAAAATTCCGAGCCCTACTACACATAACGTTACAAACACAGATGTCACATCCAATTCGGAAAGCGATAATTTTGCGGATAGTTCATTTAATGAATGGTTTGAATATGTGCCCCATACTATTCTAGATACTCCAAAATCAAGACCTGGCCGTGTCCCAGGGCGGCAATGTGTAACACGAAGGAAAAGTGAAACACAAGCTGATAATTCCTCAAAACCATATTTGCAGAATTGCGATTGCAGTACGGTGCCAATCTGTCACGTAAAGATGCTGGTAAAAAACATAGAAAGAAAGTTGATGCTATCTGATTGCACTTGTGACTCTATGAATTCTAAGGTTTGTCCAATTCACTCCAGAAAAAATTTGTAAAATGTGATACATGTTTCTTTGCTTTGTACGGTGTCTGAGTGTTTTTATAAACATTTTTGTTTAAATAAATTTGCGTTACATTTAATAATTTAATTGACATTTAACAAGAGAAATATATTTAACATATTTAAGATAGCTGTTTGATTTGTACTACCTTGCATCATGTATAAATAATAACTATTTACATAATATATAAAAAGGATTAATATAAATTAAACAGACAATTCCAGGATACTACATATTTTTAAATTCATCATTAAATGTAAATTATTTTTAAATTCAAATAAAATGATAATCTAATTATTATCTTGAAATTCGTTATTTTTTGATAGCTAATCGCGGTGAAAAAGTGCGTATGTAATCATGACGAAGTTATTGGAACATATACCTATCTATACTTTATTTTAATGGTTGCCAGTCTGGCACGAGCTGCTGTTGAATTAGCGTCTCACGCGATTAGATTAATAAACCAAAACTTTTGTGTTGATAAATATATTTTTTTATAAAGTTTCATGATTTGACATGGAAAGTGACTTGAATGACATTACTAATATTAAGAAAGAAAATGTGCAAAAGAAGAGGAATAAACCAAACATTATATCTAGATTGTTTTTGTGCTGGATATGCCCAGTGCTTGTAAAAGGTAACAGGAGAGATGTCGAGGAAAGGGATCTTATAGTGCCCGCAAAAAAATTTGATTCAGATCGCACCGGTGATCGTTTGGAAAGGTATGTAAGATCACTATATGTACACAAAAAATCATTTAACTGCAGTTGTAAACATTTATGTAATACAAGATAGCGTAAAACGTATAATAACAAAGATGGTTGATATGGTTGTGCAATTCGTAATAATGACATATGGCGGCTTTACGAGGTGGCAAGAAACGGTAGAAACTACGAAATTGAACATCCTGGTGCCGCGCACAATTCCTTCGTTTCTATTGGTTGGCTGGTCGCTATACGGTGACAACAGTTTAGGTTTAGGTTACTATAGGAAATGAAACTATTTTCTGGATTTAAACCGCGTATATTTGTTTTTTCAAACAAACCGTTGTTTCGGGTCCTTTACAGGTCCCATGGACACGGTTGACTGAGGTGGTAGTCTCCAACCAGTTATGTCTAATATTAATACAAACCACCCTATTTTTTCACTATAGTTACAATAGTTCATAGATTTATTAATTAAATACCTTATTTTTAATTTTACAAAGAAAACATTCCAATTTACGCTACATTAAGTTTTACAAATGATTTTATTGAATGAATTTTTATTAAGTTCAATTTATTATTAATTAATAATAATACAAATTAGAATAAACTAAAACATATTAATTAGTACTGCAGTGTTATGTCTGTTTGGGACTTTTCATTAGAGGAAATACTGGATCCCAAACTGGTGGTACTGAGAAACCATCTTCCCTTTTGAAATTAGGATGTTTTTTAATTTCAATGGCCTCTCGCAGCATCATGGCTAGAAAACGGACTTTTTTTGCAAGGACGTGGGGTTTGTCAAACTTCATTGAATGTGTAGGTTTATTTATGCTTACTTGTTTACGCGACGGTGTTCGACATCAGCTATATTATGTTCTTTGACGCGGGTACAAATAGTTCGCTTCGTTTGTCCAATATAAGAGAGACCGAACTCAAGTCAACCTTTTATACTCCTGCATCCTGTAAGGGGATGTTACATTTTATGCGTCTCAGGAACTGAGATATCTTCCTCAGGGGCTTGAAATAGGTCTTGATAGATGCACGCCTGAGGACTCTTCCGATCTTGTCTGCAACACCTCTCACGTAAGGTAAGATGGCAGGTCTTCGCTCGACTGTTGGTGGTTTCACACGGGGTCTGCGGCATTGGCGTGGGATCTTCAATTTATTCGCATGTAGGGCTTGTTTTTATTTGTTGAAGTTCACCTGCCAGATATTACTGTCGCAGACACCATGTGCTCTCTGAAACAAAGATTTGCCCACGGTAGCTAACTGACTAGGATGGTGATGGGAATTACCATTGAGGTACCTATCTGTATGGGTTTTCTTTCGAAATACAGTATGGCCTAAGGTGTTATTAGGATTTCTTTTAATTAAAACATCTAAGAAAGCTAAAGTACCACAATTCTCTTGTTCCATAGTAAATTGGATCTTAGTACTAAAATAATTAAGATGGTCCAAGAAAGAAGGTATGCTATCTTTAGGTAATATTGTGAAAGTATCATCAACGTACCGTTTGAAAATCTTCGGCCTAGCTGGGGCTATGGGTAAAACTCGCTCCTCGAAGTCTTCCATAAAAATATCGGCAACAACGGGAGATACCGGGGAGCCCAACGCCATACCGTTGATTTGTGGGCTGAATTCATTATTCCACAATAGATAGCCTGATGTTAGGCAGTGTTCTAATAATTTTGCATATTCAATGGACATATTATGTTCCCTTAGCTTTATACGTTCAATTTCAATGCAGTCTTTTACTGGTAGGTTGGTAAACAGCGACTGAACATCAAAACTTACCATGGTGTCATCATCAGTTAACTGTAGATCTTTGATTCCACTGATGAAATGGTGTGAATCCTTTACATATGTAGGTTACTATTTTAATCTTACTGTTTTATAAAATTTAACTTAAAACTTTTTGTTAGTTATTGGTTCAGCGGTTTTTCGTGAATTTTAATATATTTACATCTTAACTACTACCGATACAAATATAAATAAACGGTTCCCTTCTTTCCATCAAGATTTCCTCCCGTTACTTGCTATTTATTATATATTGTTTCACTTATGTGAGTTTATTCTATTGATTCTCACATTCTTCTTCTCCGTTATGGCGGATAATGCGTCGAAGAAGTAATCAAGTTACGTAGGTTATACAATACAACCAACATAATAATGATTAATAATATAAAATAAAAGGTATTATCTTTTCTTTAGCACAAATTTTGTTTTACTAAATATTAATATGATTTAGAAAATGAAACTATTTTTTCGGATCTAAATTGTGTTTATATTTATATTTTTAATTAACAACTAAACCTGCTTTTTTACCCCTTCACTGAAAGGTGTTTCACCGGTCCCATGATTCTACGGTAATTCAAAATAGTTTCGTTTCCTACGTATAACAATCGCGAAAACCTAAGAAATTAGTTTCAATATCATCCATCATTGTCAACCTATTACACGTCTCGTATAGTTTGCCTGTATAAGCCAATGCTCTATACCATACCAGACCATATATGGACCTACCAACAAAAGAACGTCTGGTCCGCGCTAACAAGTGTCCGAACCTATAGGTTCGTTACGTTTGTTCAACTGACAGCGCTCTTGTCAATCATGCAGTACTGTGTACTATATAATAAAAACTAGTAAAAATTATATAATTAAGATGAAAAAACTGGATTCTGTACAAAATTTTCTCCGAAGAAATCTAATAGTTGAGAAATATCATAGAAATAGAATATCAGAGTATAGAATAGAAATATCATAGTTATCATTTAAAAGAATTATTTTGTACAGTTGTATAGTATTTAATTTATATTTAAATTAATATAGGAAAAGGTACAGGAAGGGAAAAGAGCAGATAGGTAAAGGCGTAAAGGCTGTTGCAAAACATTATGATATAAAAACAGGTACAATCGTATAAAAAAACTCCCTACTTAAATTAAATACAGGTTATGGTAAAAAGAAACTTACCCCAAAAGGGCCTGTAATTTCTAGAAATACTATGCTTTATAAGCAGTTCGGTTACATGATTTTCAATGGTACTACAAATATAGTACTGAAGAAGCAGATTACATGATTTAACTGGTCAGAATTTTATGTGAAGTCGAGCACGTGAGCTCGCTTCGGAAATTTAGTAGAGAGTGGCGACGGAAAGATGAAAAGTAAGTGACGAAGAAGAAAAGGGATCTAAGAACGGTGGCCAGGAACCAGAAAAAGGTGACAAAGAAGTGGGATGGCGATTAAAGAGGTCGCATCGTCACAAGCTAAACCATGGATTTTTGTCATCCAGGTATACACATGCTCTCCCACTGGGTTACCACAGCTCCTTATAATATTTATTTATTAAGAATTAATTTATATTTCGATAACGTTACTTGTACAGTTATATATATACTTTAGTTCATTGTTATCGAAGAATAATAATATAACAATACAAGTGTATCTATCGATTATAAACCTGGTGATAAAAGACGCAATAACTTATTTATGAAACAATGCCAACCTTAAAAGTGTACTTATCCGTTTTGGCTGTATCCGTAGCAACGGCTTTACTTGTACTACTCAACGACAATTCAAATGCATACAGAAATATGTAGCTGCTGTACACGGTTGCGAAATTCCTCTCATTTATCTGCCATCATCAGCTCAGAGCCAGAGAGATCAGCTCTAGGTCATCGTAGTGTAAAAGATCTCACCTTCTACTCGACGAATTCAAACCAGGATGTTATTAATTAGATAGTAATGCAAACCACACAATATGCCATATACTTTCAGTAGCAGTAGAGCTCCATGTGAAAGAGTTCGTCGAGGGAAGTACTGCCACGTTACCTATTTTTCTTGCCAAGCAGTAATGTCAGCATTACTGTGTTCCGGTTTTGAAGGGTTAAGGGTGCTGGTGAAATTACAGGCATATGGGACTTGTCAACTTATGTCTCAGGGTGACGGGTGCAGTGGCAGTGCCCCTCAGATCTTTGGGATTTAAAGCTGTCAGTGGCACTGCAACTGTTATGGACAGGCGTGTAACTTACCACCCGACACACGTATTGTTCGTTCCGTCACTTGATATTATAAAAAAAATGCAAACAGTAAATTTTCGTTACATCCACATTCAAAAAATGACGTCCTAATGACACTCCTCTTTCTAGCCTATTTTTTTTAACACCCGATCAGCCTATGCACTTATTTTTTTATTTTTTTGCTCTACTTTTTATTTAGAGTAACCGATGATAGAACTTAAAGTGAATATAAATACAAATGCAGGTTTTATAACGATGCCTCAAAACGCAGCCGCTAACAATAGCATTTTATATTAATTGGGTTTACATCTATGTGCAGTTTTATTAAAATCGATTAACGGAAGTTGTGTGAAATTTAATAATCCGGATTTATACCCAAATTTATAAGCTTTGGAGGTGGAATATTTTCTTCAAATTTTAATGGGATCACTACTGACATATCTCCTTTCCAACACATTAAAAGCGTCTTAGAAATTCAAGTTCACAAATGTCAGAGTAACTACGTAACATTCACGTAAAAAAGTCGAATTGAGCATCTCGTCGTTGAAGTCTGCTATGAACGAGATCTCATTACTCACTTTGTGTCCAAGACCTTATTCGCCAGCTATTAAAATGTTGCCTCTCGTATATATTAATGTAGCACATAGTGAAATCCGTAAATCACATTACATTGTGACTAGAATACAAGATCTTTATTCGCTGACAAATGTAGTTAACAATGAAGGTGTTGCAGCAGGTTATATTTGATCGTACATTTCACCAAAATCAGGCATGCGAATATTTTACACATTTCTTATTTTACTTTTGATCTAGCATGCATTTAAATGTAAATTATCCACAGTGTGATAATCGCCTAAGACTTCCGTTTCCGGCTACTATAAGCGCAAGACGTGTGCGTATAGCCAACTGTTTTAAAATTGTTTTAGAATTTTAAAACATGAAGTAAATATTTTGAAACAATTGTGAAAAACTAAAACATGCTCCCCTGAATTTTTTTTCCAAATGGCGCTTCATCCTTTCTACAAAACATCGACGGTATTTAATTGATTAAATAAAAAATAGAGTTGCAACGAATATTCGGTTACCATTCGATATTCCCGAATACCGAGTAACTAAAAACAGGAGGAAGAAATTAGAAAAAATATAGTAAATTATAATGTAACTTTTACTGATGCTGAACATCCATTGTAAGCGCAATTCATCGCTTCTTTATTTAAATGATCAAAGAAATTAACAAATTACTTACGAAATCAAAACAGATAATATATCAAATGAAAACTACCTACATATCATGCAGTTTACTCATGACTAATAAATGCTAACAAAATCAACCAAGTACCTATTTGTTCGCAAACGAAAATAATAATATTAAGTTTTTGAAAGTTAATTAAATTGAAGTGAAATAACGAAAATTACTTTCTTCATGAAGTTATAAAATCAAATTATAAACTTAGAAATTAAAGTACTTTCATTTGTTACGTTTTACAAAATTATTTATCATAACTTAAGTTCGTCAACGGTTTTCGTGCCAATTTTCATACGTGCCTTAATGAGGCCGCATAGTTTGGACGAATATTCAGGTAGATATTTGGCCACACTTCTGATCGATTGTCGATATTCTATTCGTACCCCGCCACACTATTAAAAAAGAAATTTGAATATTAAGACCCATCGAAATTTTACCGGTTGGATTGTCGACAAAAAAATTGCCCTACGATTATATTCACAGATGTTGGAATGAAGAACAACAGAGAGCACAGCAAGAAAACAGAAAAGCATCGCTATGGACTGCGGTACGCAAAGCGTACTGGCTAGCATATATGCCTGGTGGGTTCTTTGTGGGTGTCATAGCTATTGCCAGGTTAGTTTCTCTTTTTATACTTATTGCGGTACTTAAATGATATAGGACACTACTTAAGCATACTGAGGACGTTGCCCGATATTCAAGATATCCCAAAAGTAGAGCTAAATTGAAGGCTAACTTATGTTTATGCCAAGTATAACTCGCATCATTGATGTTTATTACACCAAGGATACGATCAAGATTTATATGGAAACTATGATTTTGAATACTATAATTTTAAGGACTAGTATGGCAAGAAGTATGTTTTAGTCGCAGTTTTCAAAAGTTGTCAACCAGGAAGTAGTTTTCAACAATGCGCCTTTTCCATTAAATTTAATAGTCTTGAAACACTGAATTTCTTATTATTCATGATTAATTCATATAAAGAAAAATTCCAAATTATCATGAGTTTTAAAAATAGAACCAAACTTTTTAATTTTTTTAGGACAGCACAACCCCTTCTGTTCTCGAACTTGCTTCAGTATTGGTCTGTAAATACAGAGATGACACAGTTGGACGCGGTGTACTACGCCCTGGCCATGCTTGGACTGAACTTCGTGACTATGATGTGCCAGCATCATAATTCTCTGTTTGTACTAGGATTTTCCATGCGGGTCAAAGTTGCTTGCTCCTCGCTCTTGTTTAGAAAGGTATTATTATTAGTACTATACTGCCGTCCACTAACTAAAACGCGGCCAAGAGTGACAAATGTTCAAATATCCGTTTTAAATAGGAAAAGATAGATTACAAATTTCTCTTTTACAAACAGTTAAAATTAGTTGACGTGTTCAACTTATCGGAACTTACTCTTACGATGCATAGCTGAAATATCATTACACAATTTCAATGTTCTAAAACTGGGTTATGGTTTTTTAGGATATCTCAAAAAAATATTTTGTCTCTTAGCCGAGTGTAAGTCAGCAGACGGCAGTATGGCTACAGTACCTAAATATAAAATATACTATAACTCTAGCCAAATTCGACATAGAATGTTTAATAACAAAACGTTGTTAGGCAACCAGTGATGGCAGGTGTAAAGAAAATTTTTGGTCAATAGTCACTATTTAGGCTTGCTCTACCCACCCACGGCCTGCTCGCGTAATTGGAATTTATATACACACATTGTGCCTAAGGATCAAGCACGATTTTACTAATTACTGAAAAATGGGTTTATAATTATTTATTTTTAAGACTAATTTTTTTTTGGTCAATTTAATTTTCAAATTAATATTGCCCAAAAATTCATCGATGTTAAAAAGTTATTAATAACCTGATTTTCAGTCTTTGGCAAAGACGTGCTTCGTCTCGACACTTTTGATGTGAGCAGGTAAGTAGGTAATAAGGTTATGTAGTAGTAATACATACATGGCCAGTTATTATAAAGTTTGCAAAATATAATTGCAAACAGGATTTATTAATAATATGAAATTTTTGATACCTATTAATACTTACTGCTAGATATTAGATAGTAAAAGAAACAACGTTGAAAGATTTTATTTTATGTTAATTTACGATATATCTCATCCAGTATCGCTTACAAAATCTGAACTTGAATTACTACTCGAATTCGAATGTTTGCAATCTCTCCGTTCGAAGAAGAAAATCATTAGGGATGATACAGTTTCATCACCGTCAATTACTGCTGAACTTAGGCCGCCCATAGTATTATAAATAATAAATTATTGGTAATTTTTACGTTGGTTTCAAGTCACTTACTAGTAATTTTAAACTTCTATTGAACAAAATGACGTAACTTCAAGATTAGAATAGAATTTCGGGGTAAAATATTGAAATTGTGCTAACTGTAAAACAGTCTGATGTTAAAGCCCTAAAAATCATATCTTTTTGTTTGTTAACATTCAATCTACATCAAATTTGACTAGATATAGATATAGTTTGAAATTCGGTAATTTCACAAGTATATACCATAGATATAGGAAAAAAGGTGTATATATATATATTTATCTGTAAACTTCAGATTTACAAGATTCGTCAAAATACCGGATAAAGATACAGATAAATTAATTGGATACTTAAGCCGGTATATTCCATAAGGCATACTATAAAGTGTTCCTTTTTATGGTAGAATAAGTGCACATTTCGTCGCCTTACTTTCTCAAACTTGTAGGTATCTTAAAGCACAAAATTACTGAAATGCAAAAAAAGGATTGAATGTACAAATTTTGCAGGCCGATTTCACATCACATTTCCTTCATATTCACACACCGGATTTGGCTATTTTTAAAATATTACTTTATCCAAATTAACACTCTTGATAAGACCATTAAAATAAATAGAAACTTTTGCCATCTCCTGAATAATCACTCTTTATAAGATACGGGTTTGAGAAAGTAAGGCGTCGATTTGACCTCCAATTCACCGGATGAAAAGTGACGACGAGGACGCCGACGAAGCATGCAAATCTAAAGAATGCCTATTAACTCTCGCCTTCAAAAGGCCCATGTTAGGTTCATGATATTTCTTGTTCACATTACATTACTACATTACCTTCTTGTAAAAACGTTAAGTACCTACTGGAAATTGAATGTCACTTTCCTTATTTCACAATTTCACGCAAATATAAATATATAATCCTTGAAATGTATCTCTACGTTTGATAACAAAACAAAAGACGCCACGGCGATAAATAATGTTACTTATCAACAATACAACATTTGGTAATACTAATTTTTGATTCCGCATTCAAATATATGTCGTTGATGCTAGCTGATAATTGAACTGTTAGATTTTTGCGATTGTTATACATTGGAAATGAAACTACTTGTTTCGGATATAAATCGCGTATCTTTTTTTTTTTCTAACAAATCAACATTTCGGGCTTTTAGCGCATTTGCGCACTGCATCCGATTCGTATTCGTTCCGAATCCTCTCTCCTATTCTCGATCTCCGTCCGACATCCGTCCGAAACAATTACTGTCAAATAAGTAATATTCGACAAAATTAAAAGACAAGTGTCAAGAATGAGGCTTCATTCGCATCACGCGTCTTTTCATTTGGTCAAGTATTGCTTATTTGGCAGTAATTGTTTCGGACGGATGTCGGACGGAAATCGAGAGTAGACCCCCAGGTTATTTAGCCGCGTTTTAGTTAGTGGACGACAGCATAACAGTTGCAGTGCCACTCTGAGATTTAAATAATAAAGATCTGAGGAGGCACTGCGCCCGTTACCCTGAGATATAAGGTGACAAGTTGTAATTTTACCAGCACCCTTACCCTTCAAAACCGGAACGCAGTAACCCTTATTGCTTGGCGGTAGAAAAAGGTAAGGTCGCAGTACTCCCCTGGAACAACTCTTTCACAAGGAGCTCTTTTCCTTCTAATCAGGTCCCGTAGTCACGGGTGATACTCAAAGAGAGTAGATCTGAATAAATGAGTTTAAAATTTTTTGTAAAAAACATCGACCTCAAGTCAAGAACTTTATGGAATTACATCTATTTGCCAAGTTTTATTGTAGCAAAATCGGTTAGCGGAAAGTAGGTGAAATCCAATAAACTGGATTCATTCCCTAATTTGCCACTCTTAGAGGTGGAATATTTTCTTCAAATTTAAATGGGACTATTTTTTTTAGAAAAGGGGTACCTCAGTGGTAACCCTTTTCCAAAAACAAAGAATCTTCGAAATCGGTTCACACATTTTAAGGTCGAGGTAATCGCGTAACGTACACACCAAAAGATACAGTCGAATTGAGAATGTCCTCCTTTTTTTAAAGTCGGTTAAAAATAGTTTTATTTCCAATGTTCCAAAAACCTGATGTACTTATGTTAAAAAAAGTATTACGTTGTGCAGTCGAATGTTATAGATTAGTGTAGTCTTCTCAGAACAGAACAGACAGTAAACAACATGCACCTACTTAAATATTTCGTGCGTCATCGATATCGAATATAATCCTCTGCAAATTAAGGTGTTCTCAATTACAGCGCTCGTTACTGGCACCAGTTACCCAATAATAGATATCGAGGCGTTTATTTGTTCTGAAGAAAAATCACCAGTACGTTGAGACATTCTTAATTTATTATAGAAATAACAAACCAAAATTAAGTATGTAAAGAACAATGATTTAAAACGTTTTTAATATTTTTCTATTAAGCCGCGGTAGCCTAATCAATACCTCCAATGAATACTACGCCAACTCAATTTGTTGGTCATTTTCTGTTATTTTTATAAGCTGCCATATTTATTTACTAATATCTCCGAATTTTGTGAAAAAAAATTGTCAAAAAGAAGAAAACAAAAAATTGTCAAAAAAAGAAACAGAAAAACAAAATAAAAACAGAACAGGTCCAAAAATTAAGTTGGCGTAGTGTTATTGGAGGTATCGTGATGGTTGAACTACCACCTCAAGGTGAGGGTCGTGGTTCGAATCCGGGCTCGCACCTCTTAAGTTTTTCGGATTTATTTGCGAAATTTAATTTAAAATTTACCATGAGCTTTTCGGTGAAGGAAAACATCGTCTTGAAGCCTGCACGTCGAAGAAGGTTCACAATCCTCGTCTTTGTCGTCCTCGTCGTCTTTTTCAATTCAGTCTCCAACCCGCATTTGGCCAGCGTGGCGGGCCTAAACCCTCGCCTGAGAGGCGACTCGTGCCTATGAGTGGAAAATATAAATGGGTTAATAATGATGATAATGAAAAATAACAAGCCATTTATGTAAATAATGATGGTTTAAAACGTTTTATTTTATTTTAACTTGTTCGAAGACCATCGGCTATCGTAACGTTGTTAATATTATTCCATTTAAGTTGTGATTAATCAAACAAAATGCATTTTTATTATTTTAGTTATTGCGGACAAGTCAAGTGAGTATTGGAGACGTAGCTGCCGGAAAGTTGGTAAATCTACTCTCAAACGATGTAGCGAGATTTGATTATGCGTTCATGTTCCTGCATTACATTTGGGTAGTGCCATTACAAGCCGGTGTAGTGCTGTATTTCTTGTATGATGCCGCGGGGTATGCGCCATATGTCGGCTTATTCAGCGTGGTCATACTAATCTTCCCGCTACAAGGTAATTATTTGTCGTTTTAATTGCTTGTTTAACAGATTATTTCAATTCGTTTTGAATTTACTTTAGAGCGGTTACACACAGTGATTTTTAGCATCGTGTCTGCAGTCGCGATGCAGTCGCTAATCGTACCTTTACACACATGCGCGACTTAAGCAGCGATACAATCGCGATGTAAATGCGATGCACGTTTTTAATCATTCACATACGCGACTGTATAGATGCAGTCGAGAGTTTGCGACTGTATCGATGCAGTCGAGAGATTGCATCGATGCTATCGCACGTTTGCGTCGATGTTATCTTATCGTACGTTTGCATTTGCAATTGCCTACAAATCGCAAGTGTCGTGATGCAATTGCGCATTTCACAAACCCAACCACAAGTCGCCGGGTATAACCACCCTTCGATAGAAGGCCAGGAGCAATTCCAAAAAAATTAGGTCCTACGAGGTGACATAATAGAGCAGACAAGAAATTTTTTCCTGGCCTGTCACGGTTACCTGTCAGTAGTCCGAAATGACATCTTCCAGAAATAACGTTTGCTCGAATTTTCATAACCTCGAAAGTAATTTTGAGAGGAAAATGTTTTTTCTTTTGAACCTAACTTAATCTAACTGAACTCAATCTCAATCGTGTCTTTGCGATAAACACCCAACATATCCTGAAAGAGCAACGATTTCGTTATAATTCAGTTTTCCATGTAATGATAATTCGAACAAACGTTATTTCGGAAAAAAATTCGGTTTGTGTTAGGTTATCTCCTACCACGAAAGTATATAAGGGTCATTATTATTATCTATCAAAACGGAATCTTGAAAACCTGTCTCACTACCTCGTGTATTTCGACAATATTTTTATTTCGTTATTTAACACCTTTGCTACTTAGTACCGAAATACTTTTGGTTGGTCTTTTCTGCTTCGCCGTAGATGACGCTGTAGATAAATTCTAAATTTAAATGTACTTGTTTTTGGCGTCTTTTTCTTGGTAGATGTCATTTTTTGTTTGTACTGCTATGTTCGTAGATGTACATTGCTTGAATAAACTCTTCACCTGAACACAGTCCGCTACAATCACAATAGCTCGCATTGTTGTCGATATGCAAAAAAACTCTTTAATTTTTTAATGGTTAAAATAAGAACTCATTTAACCTCTATCTCACCCGATGGAAAGTGACGTCGACGATGGAGCACTCACGTCTATACTCGTATATCGCATTTTCACTTTCGCCTTGAAAAAACCCTAGTTATACCATTCAGGAAATAAATTTGCAGGCAGGGAATTTCATCCCAATATCATATGCCATACAAATGTGGAAGTGTACCTTCGTGTGAATCTTACGAGTATATGAAAAGTGAACTGTTCTTTTGTATAGTTTGCACAACCAGCTGGCGTATCTTTTTGTTTGCTATCTATTAACGTTTGCGCATTATCCTTGCATGTTGAGTGTTATCTTGAGGCCTTCTATTATTTAGTAATCATAATCTATCTACTTGTATATGTAGGCATACAGTCTTAATTACATAGATCTCCGCATTATTCTTTTTGATCCTACCATACTCATTTCAGTCCAATGTTGGGAACGCACTACGTTTTCCAGCGTATGGTAAGCTAGTGACCCTTTTGTTACCGCAGTTGGCACCAGACAAAGTATCTTTATACTTGATGTTTTTGTTTATGTTACTTGGTACTTGGTGCAACGGGCTGGTATCCGCAACTCGACGACAAAGCGCCTATTTTTTTGTTTATGTTAATGATCTATTGTTTAATTCAGTTTTTATTTTGTTCGTGTTCTATGTGATTGTTTATTTCCTAGTTTGAGACCAGGATTTGGTGTGGTTACCTACAACGTTTTAATATTAACGTAAAATAATAATAAAATAATATTAGATCCAGTGTGAAAATATATCATAATTAAATAAAAAAGAAAATAGCACTAATTGTAAAGGAGGCCAAACCAAACCTATTTTGTAATAATGTTACAGCTCCATTGGTTTTTTTCCATAGTTTCTGCATTTGTTCATGGTACTAACAAATATAATGTGATGTGTGTTTTGTTTTGTAATTATTTATTTGTATCTTAGGCTCAAGTCACACTGGCGCATAGTCGAAGCGTCGCGTCGCGTCCTGTTTTTCAACTAAGACGCTCACATTAGTGCGCCATGGATCACAGTTTGGTCTGATGCCTCACGGCGCCCAAGTGACGCGCGAAACCGCTCGAACGCTACCAAGCGTCGACGCGCGAAGCCGCTCGATTCCATATTTGCAAAACACAAATTTGTACCTTAATAATGGGAAAATATAGATGAATATGCTATAGGCGAAAAACATGACGCGTCGCGGCGCTTCGACTCTGCGCCAGTGTGAGTTGAGCCTTAGGCGCGAATGTTTTTTATTATATTCTTAATATTTTTTATTTTTTTTTATTTCTTATTTCTTCTATGGCGTCATTTGTGATAGTCAAATAAATGTATTTTATTATTCTACTTTTTACAGGTAGATTGTAAAATTATTCTCACGTCGATGCAGACTTTTCTAATTACTCCAATTTACTCTTTAGTGTGCTATTGTTATTTATTCGGCTTCGCTGTTACGTATCATAACGTACGTAATATAGCCTCGATTTTCTAAGTCCATTATTCTGTAATTGACAACACCAGTCTTAAACGATGAAGTTTCCAATCGATTGATGTTGCAATAATAATGTGATGTTCAAATAAAATATAATAAAATATGTATAGTCTCTTCATGTTTATATTATTCAAAATAATCCAATATTTAAAGAAGGATCGGAAGGTGCACATCGTGCAATTGTTTCCACAAAAATTATGATACATTAAGTATGTTTATTAAGAATTTTGTTTTCAGCCGTTCTCACAAAATTGACAGCGGTTATTAGGCGAGAATGTGCTAAGAGAACTGACAAAAGAATCAAACTTATGAGTGAAATTATTAATGGTATTCAAGTAAGTATTTTGCTAATTATCATGATGACCTCGGTAGCCTAACGGTTTATATTGTGGGCGCTGGATGAGGAGGTCTTGGGTTCCATTCCTCGTTGACCAACTTGGGAAATAAACTTTTTTACATTTGTTCTGGTCTGCGTGTTCTAGGAAGTGCCCCACAGTGAATTCCGTTGCTCTAATACTCATAGCATAGGGAATTCCCTGGTTTGAAATTCGGCGAGGTTATCTATAGTGACGACCTCCGTGGTCTAGTGGCTTGCATACCGGTTTTCATGGTGTCACCATCTATGAGGTCCCGGGTTCGATCCCCGGCCGAGTCAATGTAGAAAACTAACTTTTCTACATTGTCTCGGGTGTGGGTGTTTGTGGTACCGTCGTTATTTCCATAACACAAGTTCTTTAGTTCCTTACTTTGAGATCAGAGCAACGTAAGTGTTGTTGTCTAATATTTATTATATCTGGCCCATAATTAATATTAAAATAGAAAAATCATAAAAAAATTATTATAACCAGTGCGATGATATATCACAATTAAATAAAAAAGGAATGTAGCACTAATTGTAATGGAGACCAAACCTGCTTGATAGGTTTTTTTTTTGCACAATTTCTGCACTTGTTTATGAGACTAACAAACATAATGTGCTAGATCATAGTTTCCCAAAGTATCCCAACCAGTGGGCGCTGAAGAGTCGTAAGGGGGCGGTGGAGGCCTTGGAAGCAATTGGGGGCGTTGATGCTGTCCAGGGTTGCTACCGCATTTGAGAAAAACCTAAATCATCTGTATAAACTACACTATATCTATTGAAACTGGAAATGTAAAACCTCTAACGTACATTTGGTAAAATATTGTACAAGAGAACGATTTAAAGTATTATTTTTTCAGAAAAAAAAAATCAAACCTAATTTTATTTGTTTTTCATATAACAAAGAGTTATAATTTTTTTCTCACACGTTTTACCTTTCCAGCGTTGATATAATTTTCATTTCTTGTGATTTTTTTGTATTAAGTTAATATAACAAGTACGTACTTTTCAAAAAAAAAGACGTCTTTTCACGCCCGCCCGGTAAACTAAAAAGTTTGAGAACCGATGTGTTAAATGAACAGTAACTGGCATACGGCGATTGCTGACCATGCCGATATCATTACCTTGGTATAATATAGCCACAGTGATCATAAGTCAAAAATCTTTTTGTCATATGAAATTTATAAAAACGATACTAACTACATGAAACAAATTATGTAGGTATAATTATGTTAAAGTTTGTAACTCCTATTTAAGCACAAACAGTTATTAGCTAATTTTGTTAGTAAAGTATTTAAACCTCAAAAATAGAAATTTTGCAGATGTGTCCTTATTATAGTGTGTGAGTGGCTCTTCCTACTGAGCTACTGCAGAACGAACCAGCAGCCGCTGTGAATTTTTCTAAGTGCTTGTTTCAGATCTTTATTTTTGAGTAATTACAGAAAAAATAATTAAAGATCGCGGTAGTAATGCATCGTGATATTCAATAATAAAGTTAACATTATAGTCTAATTATATTAGGAATTTATGTAGTTTGTTTGTGAAACTAGGTAATAAAAATGTACGCCTGGGAGAAGCCGTTCCAGCTGGTGGTAAATGCAGCTCGTGCGTTTGAGATGGGCTCTTTAAGGAAGTCGATGTTTGTTCGCAGCATGTTTTTGGGATTCATGCTGTATACAGAGAGGACCATTCTCTTTGTTACTACCTTGACCATGATCCTGACGGGCACAATGGTGACCGCAGCTACAGTATGTATTAACATAATGTAGTAGTAGTACCTACGAACATTGTTATAATACAATGTCATTGATTTAAACTTTGACAATTTTCACATATTATTTGATTTTAAAATTAGGTCTTAATCGTGTATGAAACATATTTCATTTACCTCAACGTTTGAATGACAGGACAGAGTCAGTCCCTTCGTGACCACTGACGTTGTAACGCGTCTGAAACATTTTTTTT